ACTCTCATCTCCATACTAAGTATGAGCCATACTTAACAGTTACAATATAAAATCTTGTTAAGCATTTCGTCAAACATTAAAAGACGCTCTAAAGAGTAAAGGGTACCTTAAAAAAGACAAAAAATGGAACACAGCTACTACTCCGACTTCGAAAAACAACAATCCATCGGAACAAGATGGTTGGGGTCCTGGGGATACTTAAAAATAGAAGGAGCCACAAGGTTATTGTAAACATTGAACAGAGAGAAAAGGAGAATAGTAAGTGTTAAATTTTTTAATAGAAATTATGTATTTTAAATTAATAAAAAAATTTATTATATATATATATATATTTTAATTCTTGATAAATTTAAACAAACCAATAGGTTTAGGTTATACTTTTTGTTTTTTAAATATAGACTTTATCAAATCTATAACCTATATTAGATTAACAGCAGATTCAAAATATTTTATATAAATTTAGCTTGTTTTTAAATCAAGTTTAGAGGCAAATTCGTTTACAACCCTAGCCAGGAGATATCAATGGATCAATCCGAGAGGAATAGTAGAAGAATGCCAAAAAAGAAAAAGGAGTAGGATTGACGAAAGCTTGAATGCGACCAAATAATGAAATTTTAGTCCGAGCTCACTTAACGTAGGTTTCTCAATTCCAATGCAGATGTGGGTCACACAAAAATTAAATTGAATCATATTTAGCATCTTTGGTCCATTCATAAATTGAATTGTGAAAATGAAGGTGTATGAAAAGAAGTTGAAAGCCAAAAGAGAAAAAAGGAGGACCAATAATTAGCAGTTTAAAAGATGGGGAAGCAAAACATCAAAAGGAAATAATGCCAAGCTGGAGTTGTCATTTTCTTAACCACAAATCACAATTGAATTGATAAACTGTAAGCAGTCACTGTAGTAGCTGTACATTGTCTAGGTACACCATTATAATAAACTATGTATTGCTTCCCTTTCGGTAGTAGTTATACAGACATAATTTTTTTATTTGTTGTTTAGATTAATAATAACTCATCGTTCACCCATTTTTTTTCATGGCTTATTGTCTTATGAGATTATACACGTATGGTAGTGGTTAAGTGCTTCATAATTATATTATCATACTTGTCTGGTTTTGATCTAATTCGCATTGATACTTTACTTCGCAATTTGCATTCGTGCAAGTCATTGTAAGGATGAACGGTAAAAGAAACTGACCAAAACCAATGAGTTACTTTTTCTTTTCAGCAAGAAAGACATAAAATTCATTAAGATGAAAAAGGAAACAACAACATAGAGCCACCAAGAAAAAGGTCAATTCAACAATAACCATGTATATTATAGGAACAATTGCGTTGTATTTATTTAGTTATTTTTTCTAAAGAAATTAACATTATATCTTCTAATGATATATTCAATCCTTGAATATTTCCAACCGTTTTTATGTGAAAATGAAGTTGATTATATTTGTATAAGTGAAATAAATTATTTTTCAATAAAAATTACAAAAAAAAACTTTAGGTGGTTCATAAAATTAAAATAAATAATTTTTTCTGTATTTTTAGGAAATTTTTAAAAATATTTCCGCGAAACTAATCGTATCTTTAATTAGTACCCAAAAAAAAAATATTATTGCATTCAGTGTAAAAATAAGCACTAAATGCAAATTTAACAAAAAAGAAAAAGAAAAAAAACCTGCTGAGACCCACAGCAACCAATAATGTTTTGCTCAACATTTAGTTTTCTGCCACAGAGGTAGACCCAACAACAAAGTCAACATAGCCCAATGCTTATGGTTTGGGCTACGGTTCCATGTGGTGGTTGGTGTCTTGTCGTTTGAACTTGATTCTTGTGACCAATCCAATGCTTAAGGTTTGGTTTCAGCAAAAACGTTTTTTTTGTGTGTGTGTGTGTGTGTGTGTGGTGAAATTCAGGTAGATTATTTTAGGGTTTGTTTTTTCTGATGTTACTTTAGATAATTTTATCTAATGTTCATCAAAACGACGTCGTTTTGGGACGGAAATCATGGTATTTTTGTAATTTTAATTTATTTCAGGGTATAATAGTCTTTATCACTCTAATTTTTTAATTTTTCAACTCCAAAACGACGTCGTTTCGATGAACATTAAATAAAATTATTTAAAGTAACATGGGAAACTTTTTTCCCATTATTTTATTGGAAAAGCATTTAATGGAGAGATTCTAGAAGCATTTTATATTCACATGCTCCCTAATTTATGATTTCAAATAAATCCATGATTACTTTGAGCAAGCAAATCTAGCAAACAGCTTTCAATTTTTCCCCCTGTATAAATTGTTTCAGGTAGGCATATTTTCAGATGTGAGAAATGATTTTCCTGTCGCAGAGGTTTGGGTTTCTTTCTTATTTCTTTCATCAGTTTTAAATGGTTGTATATTGTCCTTCATGGTAGAATAGATTCTTGACTTCATCTTCGGAAAATTTAACGCCAGTTATATGAGTCTCTAACTTTGTTAGGGAGTTAGTTCTAGGAGGAAAAATAAGTAACGGAAGAATTTTATTAAGTTAAAAAAAATGGGAGAAGAGAATTGGAGATTTTTGTAAAATCCTCCAAAACCATTCTCAACCTTAAAATTAACGTTCCCCAATTTAGGGGGTTTGAGGGGTGAAATATTGAAAATTACTTATCTACCTTTAGCAATAATATATGAAAACTACATAAATGTGAATAATTTTTAAATGTGACATTATTAAAAAAGTCTCACATACCAACAGAATTTATTGACAAAAAAAATTTCGTCGAAAAAAATGACGAAATTTTTGACAAAAATCAAATTACGCCGTAAGCTCTGACATAAATTTTTGAGGAAAAAAATTTTAGTGAAAATTCTTGATAGAATCTAAATTCCGTCTAAACTTTTCACATAAACATTTCTGTCAAACTTTTCAAAGGAAAATAATTTATCAAAAATTTTGACGAAACACATTTTCATAAAAAAAATTCGACAGAAAATAATTTCGTCAAATTATTTTACAGAAAATATTTTCATCAAATTATTTTACAGAAAATATTTTCATCAAAATTTTCAACAGAACACTTTTACAGCGAAAATTTTGACAACAAATATTTACGAAAAAAAATTAGGCAAAAAATATTTTTGTAAAATATTTCGACGAATTTTTTTTTTTTTTTTGTCAAATTTATTTACGGAAACTAAATTTCGTCGAAACATTTTCCTCAAAATCTTTGATAAAAAAACATATCCGTCGAAATTTTCGATGAAAAATATTCCCAACATAATTTTCAACAAAACACATTTCATTCAATTTTTTTGACACAAAATATTTTCGTAAAAAATTTTGACAGAATTAAAACTTCGTTAAAATTCTTTACAGAATCTAAATTTGGTTGAAATATAGAAAAAAAAATAGTTCATTCTATTCAATATATTTATGGGGTAAAGGTAAAAAAGAAAAAGAAAATAAAATAGAATATTCATTTAGTAGCTTTTTTGACAATAAATAATGAAGAAAATACACATTTCCATCCAAATTTTTTGACAATAAATAATGAAGAAAATACACATTTCCATCCAAATTTTTTGACAAAAGAATTTTCATCAAATTTTTCAATGGAAAACATTTTCATCGAAATTTTTCGATAAAAAATATTATCGTAAAAAATTTTAACGGAAAATATTTCCATGAAAAATGTTGTTGGAAAAATATTACGTCAAAATTCTTTACGAAATGTAAATTTCATCAAAAATTTTGAAAAAAACATTTCCCTCAAAAATTTTGAATTTTTTTTTTTTCATCGAAACACATTTCCATGGGGAATTTTGGTCGGAAACTTTCCATCAAAATTTCTGACGGAATTCTTTTTTTCGTCGAAAATATTTAAGAAATTATTTTCATCAAAACTTTTGACGGAAATTAAATTTCATTGAAAATTTTGAAAGAAAATTTATTTCTGTAAAAATTTCGACGGATAAAAAATTTCTTCGCCTCTCAACGAAAAGTATTCTAACAAAAAAATACTTTTTCGATGGAATTTTCGTCGTTTGCATCGTAGAAAGTTCGTCGAAAATATGATTTTTTTAGTAGTGTGAAAAATACATAAATAATTTTGTTAGAAATTTTAAATTTAATTTAATTTTTAAAATATAATAATTATATTAATTTATAAAAAAAATTAAAATGATAAAAATATCTCATTAACCCTCTATTTTACTCCCTTACAGTTTTTTAACTACCAAACAGAAGAAGAGAATATCCTCCAATTTTCTTTCCTTCTTTTCCCTCCCTGTCCCTTGGATCCATTTCCTTCTCTTCCCTTCCCCTTCATTTTTTGGAGGAGAGGGAAGAAAAATAGAGAATATTCCCTCCACTTGTTTGGGAGTTAAACCCCAAAAAATGAGGGAAGTTTAATTTTAAGAATACTAAGGGTTTTGGAGAATTTTGTGAAATTTTCCAATTCCTTCCCCCTCATCTTTTTAAACTCACAAACCAGGAAAAAGATTAATAAAACTCTCCAGTTTCTTTGTTCCTTGGGGCAGGATATTCTTACACCGGTGTAAGAGTTAGAAGTCTTACACTCGATCTTGACCATTGATCCACTTGTATCCAATGGCTCACATTATTAAAAAATTAGAGCCCTTAGATATAAGTGGGATCAACGGACAAGATTGAGAGTGTAACTTACACTGGTGTAAAATGATCATGACCCTTGTTCCTTTCCTAAAACTAACTCCAAAACTAAGAGATAAAATAAAATAAATGAATTTTTAAAATTTACAATTCTTGTTAATTAAGGAACTAATTTGATCCACAATGTCTCAAATTGCTACGCCAAAAGACTGTTGGGGACGAAGGGATGAGGACGCAGGGGGAAAATCTCAGATACGTTTGTTATAATAAGATCATAACAGCAAAAGCAAGCGAGTCCTGTTTATCGATGAAAAGTAAATATCTCTCCACTGTACCAAACTATGTAACTAAATAGAGGTAACAAAAATGAATATATTGAACTCTTCAACCTAAGGGAACTCAATATTATATATTAAAAAAAAAAAACGACAATCGTCAATAACAAGTGAAAGTAGCATTATTAGTGGGAGGCCAACGGAATAAAGAATCAGTACGTTGTGAAAATTGAAGCATATGTTGCTGCAAAAACAATGAACAGCAGAGGAATCGACAACTTGAAGGAATTTCCACTGGAAGAGCCATCATCTGTTGTGGGAACTGTTCTGGATCCGGTTCCTGAAATTTAATGTCAAATTGAATGGTTAATGTCAATTAACATGGACAACATGGGTCGGAAATAATATCACTTCCTCAACTTGATGAATTAACATTGTGTACCTGATGGATTCGAATTAGGAGAATCTGCTGGTGAAGCAGCTGTTGACAAAAACATTATGCAAATCAGAAGAAAGTAGTGAATCAGAATATAATTATAGGGTGCACTTATCTTAGTCAGGTTAGAGATTCATTTTTATTTCCATACATTGGTTAGAAGAGTGGATATTTTAATATAATGTTTCAATATATTTGACAGGAAAATATAGCTTAGAATGATGAAATTAGAAGGAACTGTATCTTACCATTACACCGAGTGGTGGGTGGGGTCTGCACATTGCAAGCACCAGGCAAGGCCATAGCCTGGGTTTGGTTGATGTTCATCCCCAGTGATGATCCTCCCCCGTTAAGAACCTGACACAGACATAGTGGTTGTGACCTTACAACACTTGCAAGTTGTGAGCAGCATCCTGAAGATGGGGTTGAGGAGTTCCCCGTTATGTAATTAAGGCACGGTGAAAGGTTGAGTAACACACTTGTGCAACTTGATTGTGCCTCAGCTCCTGCATACAGCATGGCCATTACGACCAAAACCAAGGTACCCATCTCTATTTTTGCTTGTGCCATTGGAATTTTGTGATGCAAATTCGATGGAATCCTTTGAACTGAGAAGAAGATATCACCTATTACTATAAATTTGTGTTTGGTTTACTACGATGGTTTGGAAGGACGGCATTGTATGGCTTTTTATAGGGATATATGGGTAAACTAATTTAAATTAGGGCTCATTGATGTAGGATATGAATAGACAGGATCTCACAGCCGGACAAAGGTAGGATAAAATATGTTATCATATCCTGTCCTTATCTATTATTTGGTAAATCAATAGGATATGATACACTTATTTTGTTGGCTTATTTTATCATATTCGCAATAAGATAATCTATCATACGAGAGAATTCGAGTTAGGAATGTACGTGATATGATAGCAAATATCACATCCCTTTCATTCCAAATATAGCTTTATTATGCTCTTTCCCTACGAACATTATTGAATACGTGAGAGTCAACTCTTGTTACCAATCAACTGGCGCTGGCCATTGTCAGAGTGCTTATCTAATACACATCAAACACAATATAGATATAATAACATATCATGTCTTATCCTCTTTATCATGGCCACCAAAGTGGCTATAGGGATTCTATTTGTTACTTTGAGCTGTTCAAAGTGCAAACGTGAAAACTTGAACACTTACGTCTATAAAATTAATTACTCGCATAGAAATTTCCGAAGACAAGTCGGTAATGTAGATGACCAACCTTTTTTTTTTGGGATAAAAGATGACCAACCTTTAATATATGAGGTCGAGGGAACTTTGTTGCGCTGTCATCTTTAAGGTATTAAAAACACGAGACTTTTGAAAATATGACTTAAGAAAAACGAACTAGGAGTTTCTTACGTTTGATCTACGAAATTTAGCTCATATAGCTTATCTTTTGGAATCCAAAATCCAAATGAACAAAAGAAATTTGTCGGATTGGAACAGTGTCACGGGGCTATGTGATGTCACGTATATGTAAGATGTAACTAAGAAGATTCAGAGAAATGGGCATGGCATTCTCTCGCAATTACAATTTATATACCAGTGTGAGTGTCATTGCTTTTTAGAATCAACTGCAAGGATATATGACTGGTATGCAAAGCCTAAGTTTGATCTTACTAATTGCACTATACATATGTTTGGTATAATTAGATTATGGGCCATGTTAGTCTTATGTAACATAAAAATTTTCTTATCTTCTGTTCATACATTGATACTTGTATCATTTCTTTTTTTATTTTTTATTTTTCTTTCCTATTAGGCCCCACTTCAAATTAAGTGTGCAGGAGACAAAAAAAAAATTTACTATCACATGAGAATACAAATACCCTTAGATTATCGACCATTGTGAAATTACAAGTATAAAAAAACTTGTTCCTGATCCTTTCTGAATAATGACAAGGAGCACTATATTCTTAAGTGTTGGGCCATGGCCCAAGCCTATATGTAGCCTAGTGTTGCCTCTATTTCTTTTTTTTTATATGTAGCCTAGTGTTGCCTCTCTTTTTTTGTTTTCCCCAATAAATAGAGTTGGCCTTTTAATATACCCTCATATAAAATATAGTTTGCTCTATTTACTAAAATAAATATGGAAAAAATGTTTCTGCAGTTAATGCAGATACGTTATCTGCATTTATTTTCAAAACGACGTCATTTTAGTATTAAAATCTTAAAAAATTTAAATATAAAGATTATTATAATCCCGAAATAAATTAAAATTTCAAAAATATCATGATTTCTGCCTCAAAACGATGTCGTATTGGGCTTACTGCATATAACGTATCTACAGTAACGGCAGAAAAAGCGAACCCAATAAATATAGTTCAAATTTAAAAGAATTTAATTGAGTAAATTTTTCATAAACTTTACATTTAAAGACTTTTTCATCTAAAATTGAAAAAAATATTCAAATTAAACATATCAACAATTATTTACGAAGACTAATATATAGAAAAGAGTAACAAGGAAAATGAGAGCATAGAAAACAGAAGAAAAATGATGAATTATTACCATTTTTAGTTTTTTAGCTAAAAAAAAAGTTGTGTGTAAATATGTTAATAAGTTGATCATTGGCCTTTTCTGAAAAGCCTAGTATTGGTCTTTTTCTAAAAACTAGTATAAAATATAGTTGATTCAAATTAAAAAAATAATAATAATTGAGTGAATCTGTCATAAGTTTTACATTTGAAGAGTATTTTTTTATCTAAATAATGAAAAAATAATTCAAATTAAATTTATTACCAATTTTGTAGATAAGGACATTTTCTTCGAAATAGTCATTTTTTATCACTTCTAGTCTAATTATATACAAAAACAAAAACAAATAGTAACAAAGAAATGAGAAAATATAAAATAGCAGACAAATAATGGACTATTATAAACTTTTATCTTTTGGCAAAAAAACCAAATTTTGTGTGAATATTTTAAGAGGAGGGATATTCTCACTACTGAAATTTTTCACTACCAACTTACTACTTATCTAATCACCATTGGATTAGCATTTTCTCTCTCTTCAAAAACTTTTTAGCATTCTCTCTCTTTGATCCAATGGTAATTAGATAGGTAGTAAGTTGGTAGTGAAAAATTTTGATAGTAAAAATATCCCCCCTCATATTTTAGATTGGATCTTTGGACAAAAGTCCGCTCTACCAACTGAGCTATATCCCCCCGAGTCAAGTGGAGCATGCATGAAGGAGTCAAGTCAGTCTTCTATTCTTTTCCTTGGCGTTTCTTATCACAGCCGTTTTTCGTAGCAGAAGTATTAAACCGATACCCAGAATTCCTATTAATAAAAAAACAGAACTTCCCGCAGTGTACAAAATAAACTTTGTAGCCGAATACAAGCGTTTCCTCCCTCCCCACATGAATAAAAGTAGATAAATGGGAATTAATTCGAATTCCAATGGGAGAGACAAACTGAATCACAAGTCCGATTCGGGTTCGAATTTCATAGATAATGATGGTTTTGTATATCATTATAGACAAATAAAATACCTTCCAAATATTTTATCCAATTGAAATTTTGGGCTTAGCCCCAATTTTGCTTGAATTTCCCCTGAAATATATTTTACAAAAAGACAGACCTGGGTCTTAGGCCATTTAACTCAGTTGGGTTGCCCAATGGCACGTTCCAACTAAGGCATGGACCACTAACTGACCTTAAAAAGAAGCATACCCCAAGACCAAAAAATGAGAAGAAAAAACTCATACATTGACCCCAACAAAAGTATGATCCAGAAAAAGAAATAAATTAGAAGAATGTGTTGACTTACGGGAGACATAATATTAGATTGGTATGGCCAAAGATAAAATACAATAAAGGGCCAATAAAAAGAAAAAGAAAAAAGAAAGCAGCAAGAAAGATAGAAACGGAACTAGGAATCTAGAATGGTGTAATATTCGGTTATCCACCTGAGAAGCTGAACTAATAAAGAATTAAATGACTAGGCTGATGATCAAGTAGGCTAAGAATTTGAGCAAACACCCTACATTGTGACACCAAATCAGGGTAGGACGTTTTGTATGCAACTCTGTCAGCTTAAAATTCTTAGCCAAAGTGGGTTTTATGCATAGGTCAGAACATGCCAATCCTACCTACTTCAAACTCTTTCATTTCTCACTGATTAGTTATGGTAGCTGAGCTTCCACACCAACTTTGACGCTTCCTAATATTCATTTCCTTTCACTTCTCTATCTATAAATTCCCCCTTATCCAGCTCTTACCAGAACACCAAACTTGTAAACACATTTTTCTTTTGTACATCTTGAACACCACAAAATCTCTTGATTCTACATATTCCTTGCTGACCACACAAGCCAAAACTGAGGAATAGTACACATGGCAAGTTTTGTGCACCTCTGCCGCATAGCTCTAGTATTAGGAATGGCTATGGTCATGGCAGCACCAGCCTATGCCCAAATCAGCACGCCATGTAATGCCTCAACGCTAAGCACTTTATTCACACCTTGTATGAGTTTCTTCACAAATAGCAGTGCCAATGGCGCCTCACCAACCACGGAGTGCTGCAGTGCCCTCAAGTCCCTCACAAGTGGTGGCATGAACTGTTTTTGTCTCATTTTTACTGCCAGTGTTCCCTTCAGAATACCAATCAACAGAACATTGGCCATCTCTCTCCCTCGTGCCTGCAATATGCCTGGTGTCCCATTTCAATGCAAAGGTAAACTAATTCTTCACTCTTTGTATAGTAAATTTTATTATTAGTCTGTTTATCAATAAGGCCAAGATGTGAACATTTTTGCATTTACTTATTTTGCAGCCTCAGGTTCACCAATTCCTGCTCCTGGTAATGCCAAAATGCAACATTTTCCTTTTTAATTTGAAAATTATTTCTTGCCCAAAAATTATTATATTAACCTTTTATTTTCTATTTTAACTAATCTTTTGAATGATTTTGGTATATATTCGCAGGACCAGTGTCTCTTGGACCATCTCCTTCACCAGTATCATCTCCATCTGCTTCCTCAGGATTTACTCCAACTCCTAGTCCTCAAGGTTATTTCATTTTAATGCATATATATATTTATTTATATATTAAGAACTTCTTTAGTGTGATACTGATATTAGACTCTAATTTTTCTTTGAGCAGCTTCTTCTGTCTTCCCCTCACCAACTTCACCTTCTCTGGCACCAATGTCTGACACAACTCCTCCACTTTTGACCCCAACATCTCCACCAGTGGATTCTGATACCCCATCTGCATCTACGGGAAGGGGCCGCTCTAATCTGACCCCGTCATCTGCCATATCATCTTACAGTGTCCCACCTTCAGTTCTATTAATTGCATTGGGATTTGCTGTTCTCAAATACTACTAGGTTGCTGTCATGCTGTGTTTCTGGCATATCCTATGAAGACGTTGCTGTATATTCTTTGCAGTGTGGCTATTGCGTTGGATTCTTTTCTTTTTTAAAGATTATTTTAGATCCCACATCTGTGGAGTATTCATCAAACCAAAAAGCATTTGCATTGTAATGTATACGAGGTATTGGAAAATAAAGTTCGTATTATTTATTTCAGTCCTGAGTTTTATTCAGTTGTCTGTATTTCCTACCAATAACAAAATTGTCTGTACTTTGATAGGACTTGGGAGTCAGTTTTATTCAGAATTATTTAAAATTTATATTAATACTTTTTGATGAGTTGTGAAATATTTGTTGGTTAATTTAGCTCTCACAATAAATATTAGTGGGTTCTACCTTGATTTTGTTTAACAAAGAGGTACACTAATATAACAGATTAACCGTAGTTTTACCCATATTTAAAAGGCTTTAATATTTTTACAGTGAATGTAGATTAGTTATCTACATTCGCTCCTAAAAAGATGTTGTTTTTGGTTGAAAAATTTAAAAATTATAATGAGACTATTATAACCCTGAAATAAATTATAATTACAAAAATACCTTAATTTCCGCCTCAAAACAACGTCATTTTGGGCTCAATGTAAAAAAAACGAACCATATTTAAAAGCCAAAAAATATAACCAATACCTAATAAATGTTCGATAACATATCAGGTAGGGATGTACATGAGTCTTACCGAATTGAATTTTTTTAAAAATTGAACCAAATTGGTTTAAATAGTTCGATTCAGAAGTGGTTCGGTTCGGTTGGAAACGGTTCGAAACCGGTTCGGGTCGACCCTCTTTTAAAAAGAAAAAAATTAAAAAATTAAAAAATAAAGTTATAAAAATAAATTTGGTTCGGTTTGAAAACGGTTTGGTTCGGTTCGGAAACGGTTCGGTTCGGTTCAAAATAGTTCGGTTCTAAAACTGGTTCTAAAACCGGTTCGGTTCATGAACTGGTTCTTTAAAAACCGGTTTTGTTCATAAACTGGTTTTTAAAAAACCGGTTATTTTAAGAACGGATCGGTTCGTTTCATGGTTCGGTTCAATTTTTTAATTATTTTGCACACCCCTAATATCATATACCGATTTCAAAGAAAAAAAGCTTGAAAAACAGAGTAATGAAAACTAAACCCTAAAATATTTAACTTTTGCGTGTTGGAGGAATATCTTACCTATCTAATTAAATTACCACCACACACTTAATAAGTGCACTTGTTATTGTCTTTCATATATGCTGCAACTGAATCTTCTAATTTCCATATACTCCTATTAGTTATTATATTTTATTTCTCTACCGATAAATCGATTACTTAATTACTTTGGTTCGATCCATGGTTGTCAATAACGCTTTTGTATGCTATTGCGCTACGGTAGCACCCAAGAAAGGTGTGTATAATTTCAATTTGGTCCTCGATTTAAAATGCCAATAATAACATTTTTGGGGTTAAATTGTCTTTTAACCCTAAATTTATTCTGAATATCTCTACTCACTCACTCTCTGCGTTGACCTAAAAAACCTCCCTTTCTCTCTTGTCTCTCTGTTCTAAACATTTTAGGTTGATTATCTAACACTAGTTTAATAGACAAGAGTGAGGTTTATTTGCGAGATTGGGGTTTATTTTGGGTGAGTTCATTGACATTGTTTATTTATCTTGGGTTCTCTAACACAATTAAGGGGACTCTATCCAGGTTCTGAAGTTCATAGACTAAGATGACCAAAACAACCATCCTCTAGTCCACATTGAAAACTCTGCGGAACCTTCTTGAGAGGAATTGGTATTAAGCATACTCTTATAAAAGGGAATGCTGTCACTGATTGGATGGCACAAAAAGCTTTATCTGTTGATAGAAATGTCCAAATTTTTTTAACCTCTCCTGTGGGGTGTAGCAACCAGTAATGTGGCGTTTGATAGAGGAGAAATTTTTTTAGTCGAGAATCTCAATTTTTTAAAATATGATTTTTACATTCAGTTCATGATAATATCCGTAAATTTAAAATTTAGAAAAATTCAGTTTCCCGAGATTCTCGAATAATCCCGCATACCAAACGCCCCCACTGCTTTCCTGTTTATAGCATCTTTGGGTTCTCTATAATGTTCTTTTGTCTTTAGTTTAAGGGGTTTAAGTATATGCATAGGAGTGTAAATAGGTTAGGTTAGGTTAGGCTTTGGCTTAAATAGTCTTGGCTTGCATAAAAATTATTAGGTCTAGCCTGGCCTATTAGCCTGTGTAGGCCTTGAATTACAAGTCTGATCTGATCTATATTTAAAAAGTAAAAAGCCTTGGTCTAGGCCTATTAGCCTGTTTAAGCCTATTAAACATTCAACAATTAAAAAAAACTAAAATAATAATACTTTATTATTCAAAATTATTAAAATAATAATATTATTTACTTATTTTAAATAAATAATATGATATAAGCCGGTTTGTAGGTTTATAGGTCCGACACGTACAAAAAAACCTATAGCCTATTTTTTAAATAAGTTTTTTTAAAAGTCTAGGCCTGTTTTATTTTACTATTTGTAATAGGTCAAACTTGACTTAATATAGACTAGGCCGTAAGACCCTGTAAGCCAGTCTAGTCCATTTACACCGCTATGCACAGGAATTCGCTGTTGCACACTATCAATAGCCGCTATAACGCTTTAGCATTTTTGTCAGTCGTTGCCAACATTTGATACTTATGGTTCGAGCTTAGTAAAATCACAATAACAAATCTCTCCCTAACATATTATTAGTATAATTTTTTTTCAAGGGCATAGGAATTTAGTTTTTTTTTTTTTGAAAACTGATCCTAATTATTTGAGGCGAATCACTACCCCCGGTATCCCCACGGGTTCGACACTTTGAGCCGCCTATGAGACTAATCCAGAGTTCGGGTGCGAGTCCAAAGATTACAGTACTTATGCCTCTCCCCATATGGTGTTGGTGAAATTCGAACCGAGGCTCTCTCCCACCACTCAGTCTCATGCTACCAACTGAGCCACCAGGTTAATTTAGTTTTCTTTTATTTTCAATTCTCCAACAACTTGTATGATAACGTTCCCACAAATAAATTTTTTTTCTTTATTTTTAGTTGTGAAACGAAAATGGTTAGAAATAACGTTTTATAAAATTAGTTTTTTTTTGTAAAATACTATTCATTAAATACAGACATAGTAGAATGTATTATTAATATTAAATACATATTATTTATTAAAAATAGTATTTATTAAATACTCTCTCGCTGTCTCTCTCACTCTTTTGGGTATAAAAATAAATTATATAATCAAATATATTTGTTCTACCTTAAAAATCTTCCTAAACACAGAAATATTTTTTTTTTTTTCAAAACAGTTCCAGAAAATAAAATTATAGTCATACACACCCTGTCTCATTATAGAATTTGTGATCTGATATTAATGGTAAAAATTCGTATTTTATTCAAAATTTGTAAATGTTGTCTTCTCCTTGGACCGAACGTACTAATGGGCCATAGCACAATGTCTGCCTCCGGAAGTTCAACTATATCTCACAAGGGATACCTGTCCTGCTGTTAACCAATTCCACCTATCCTCGAGATTTTGGCCCAGCCACCATTCAGGTGCAAGTGTGCAACCTCATCCCATGCAGCTTGAGAATTGAGATTGATAATTTAACCCCATATATTATTGATTGATAATTTAAAGAAACTATATATCAACAATGAATCAAGGTTATATCTTAAAAGGGCAAATTTCAGTCCACAAGAATCGCCGACTTATGAGGGTGAGGGTAAAACTTATCCCAAATTTTTTCATGCAATTTGTAAAGGCGTGTCAAATGGACCCTCGTACAACAAATATATATATATATATATATATATATATATAAAATCCCTAATCCTTCCCATGAGTTCTCTTTTACTGTTTAATGTTTATAACTCTAGTTTGATTGTTTCACATTTTACTGAATCTTTCCTCAAATGGTATTCAACCTCCATTTCTTCAATCTTATAATTATACCGAGTTATATTAAAATCAAGCCTACTTCATACATTATCACAATGTCATTTCGTGATTAGAACTGGCATACATATTAAATTAAACGACAAAATGTCTACTAATGAGAATTCAGAGACCAAGATTTCAGAGTTATCACACTACCGATTAAGAGGAAGTGAAAAAAAAGCAGTAGAAAGAGAGAAGACAGTAAGCCAAACCGAAAGAAGTCCAGCAGAAAACCTAAACAAGGGTTAACTCAAGATGCAGGAACAGAAGTATCCTTGACCGATTCACGCCATGCATACAGTCTTGCCCCTTCCTTGTCAACAATTTTGATAACGAAGTTTGGTGGTGCCACAACCAACCTCGATCTGATTTCCATAATGCACTTATCTACCAGATCAATTGCTTCTTCCACAGACATTCCACTGTGGTAGTGTCTGTCCATCATTGACAGTGAAAAATAGGAGCCGTAACCAAAAGCTCCCTTCTCAAGCTTGTGAAGTGTTGCAATGTAATCAATATAGTAGAGTGAAGGGCCGGTCTCTTTGTCGTAACCAGCAAGAAGGATGTTCACAGAGTACGGGTTCTGAAGAAAACCAAATTCACACATAAAAAAAACTCATTATCCAAATCATGACGCAGCATTGCTAATGAATAACAGCTACACAAAAATATATGTTGAATATTTAAACCAATTTGACTAAAGTGCCTGGCTAAACCTGATCAACAGGTTAACAATATGGCCAATAGCCTCCCCTTTCTCCAACACATGCACCACAACCCTTCCTCAAATGGCTAGAATAATGAAATCTTTAACTTTTTTCACTGGTAATTGATAACAAATTAGGCAGGAGTGCCAGGTTGACTGTAGTTGGTGGTCATGTCTTTCTGTATATGTGATTTGAATTTGACGAGTCATATATTTTTTATTTTTCTATTACACATAATAACGTTACCATCAGACACCAAATGAAACAAAAGAAATAAAAGAGACTCCTACTTAAAGACCGTACTGATGCCTCCACCGCACAGCACCTTTGGCCATATCTCTACAAGTTCCATTTGGTATCCAAAACATCTTATTATTGATAGCCTAGCAAAGAGGATAAAATGGGTTACGAGAGTATTCATAAAAGGAAAGAGTATTAAATTCTCTCTCAAATGCCAATTGCAGCTCCCTAAATTGCTATACACATGACAACAAACTTGGAGGCGGCTTTGCAGTTTGCAGTCATTCAGACCTAGCAGCAGATCTGAAATTATGCATCTAAAAATGGTCCTCAAACAACAGTTGCAGGCCTGATTAAGTAACTCTAACAAGTACAGGCCCGATTTACAAATTCAGACAGAAGTCAGACATGCATAAGCACACGCTGACATCAAGTAAAATAAACATAAAGTGAGTAGCAGAGAAACCCGAATATAGATGAACCATTAATATGGTGCATAAATGTTAGATGATACATTGACAAGAACCATAAATGTTAAATGAACACAAGTATCCATGATTACCCTTCTACATCACCCAAAACTACCAAAAGATCTCTCAATAGTGTATGACCACTCCTTATTTAGTGTTTTCTGCAATATTAACTCTGGTTTTTATACAGTAAACCACAAACCAATCTCATAACCAATTGAACACAGTGAAGAGCATTTCATCTTCTATCTTTGTTCTTAATATTACGCAGAGGTAAAAGTGTTAGGTATGGCTCATACTTCGCATGGTAATGAAGGCCCTTGTTGTCGGGGTCAGCAGAAAGGCAACTGGGTTCCCGCTCCCAGGTGAACGGGCGGGGGTCCGAGGGAGCCGCCTCGGCGGGGGTTCAGGGGCAGCGCCCTCGGGCCCGTAGAGGCTAGATACTGTTGTAGGCCTCTGATTTATTGTAATTTTCTTAGTAGTTTGGGCTTTGGCCCATGAATAGCTGATGTTAGGGTTTTCTAATCCTATATATATTTTCCTTGTAAACTGAGTGACTTGTAACGAGTGGCGGTGAGGTGAATATAGTACAGATAAGCTGGACGTAATCTAAATTGGGTGAACCAGGGTAAATCACTATGTCTATTCTCTCTCTATCTCTTTCTCTTTTTCGTTTGCGATTTGTGTGATTGTCAATTTCCAACAAAAGGTGCAGGTTATAGTGCTACAATACAACTATCCACAGAGCACACTATACAGGTATCAAGTTCTCAACAGTAAAATACTCCAATGCTGTATTCCCACAATATAACAAGCTCATAGTTCTAAACTCTTAATCAAATGTACTGGCATCAATTTACCATCAAAAGAAAATCAACTATCAGAAATAAAATCACTGTAACATTCATTAATTATAATTGCTAGACCATAACTTGAAATCTCAAAAGGATCTTATTACTCATCATGTTGTAAAATAACACAAAACATTTAAAAAGAAAAAAAGGAAATTGGAGAAAGGGGGATACCTTGCGCAAAGCAGTGGCAAGCTCGCCACGAGTGAAATTGGCGGCAGCAGCAGTGGTCAAAGGGATCCCATTTCGGAACTGATAAAGTGCCACGTTCTTCTGTATGTACTCCGTAAATTGAACCCTGCAAGTGCAATCAAGCATTCAAAATCACCAAACACCCCAGAAATTAAAAAATTAAAAAAAGGGAAAAAAAACTGAAAGTTAACCTGTCTCCGGGTTCACCGCTTGCGGCGATGAGCTTGTGAGAATCAAGAAGCATGATCTTGTCTTCGTTGGACTTGTGAACGAGGATGCTGTGCACCGCCGACGTGTCAGCCACCACTATCGCGAAATCGTTGCCCACCAATCCGAATACGCACTCCATCTCAAGATCCTTTCTTTTCTTTTTCTCTTACCCCTATGTCTCTCTCTCTCTCTCTCTCACACACACACACAACCAAATACAAATACTGTGCTCTTGTCTTGAGGAACAAGAAGACAATGTTATTGATTTTGGGTCGGGCCGGGTCATGTGTTTACATGCTCGATTACTTTTCTACATTTTACATTTTATATTCTTATTAAGAAATATTATATTTCATCCATAAAAAAAAAGTATTATATTTATAATTTTTCTTCTTGTTATAATCTCTTATAATTATTTTTTGAGCATTATATCAAAATCAAATTAATAATTATAAAAATGATAACAAATGAGAGTCATTCATTTAACTTTTATTCAATGATGGCAAAAATGATAATAAGAGGTCATAAGGAAAAAAAAATATAAATATAAATTCCATTATTATTATTATTATTATTATTATTATAATAGGAAGACTTAGTGTTCCTTAATTTATTATTTTTTCAAACATTTAGCTATTATTTGGATAATATAAGTAACAATTATAAAAAATTACAATTATAGAGTAAGAAGTTAAAAAAATATGTGAAAACACTTACCATCCTTGTTATTAAACTTGGGTTGGTAATTGAGTTGGTCAAGTACGAAGTTAATAGGTTATTGATTGAATCATTTAAATTAAATTTATATAAAAATATAGGATTCATTTTTTTCTCATTATCACATATAATTTATCTGCGGTGAGTCTAATACGACGTTATTTTGGGGCAGAAATCATGGTATTTTTATAATTTTAATTTATTTCAGGGTTATTATAGTCTTTATAATTATAATGTTTTAATTTTTCAATCCCGAAATGATATCGTTTTGAGAGTAAATGCAGATAACTAATCTGCAGTAATTGCAAAAATATTTTAATGTATAAATAAAAAAGGTTTGTTTTTTCTAAAGTTACTTTAGATAACTTTATCTAATGTTTATCAAAATGACGTCGTTTTGGGTGGAAATCATAGTATTTTTATAATCTTAATTTATTTTAGGGTTATAATAGTTTTTATCATTCTATTTTTTTTTATTTTTCAACCCCAAACGGCGTCGTTTCAATGAACATTAGAGAAAGTTATCTAAAATAATATTAGATACTTTTTTTTCTCAAATAAAAATAATATAATAACCAAAGTGATGTGACATATTCTTTATCATTTCACTCTTCTTCCCTTATATGTTAGGTTTGCATCGATTAAACCTGATTTATGGCCAATTTACCGATTCTTAACTAGATTACACGCATAACCAATCAATTGACTAGACTAGACGGATTACTCTCTTTTCCTACTTAAGCTATGTTAGATCTCACTTTAGGCAGGTGGCCTGTAAGTTGTGATTTGTTGCTAACCTTATTTACACCCTTATATTATTAATTTTATTATTATTTTGGTAAATTTTAGATGTTCCTTAATTCAAATTTTTTCAATTTTATAGTTATATTTTCAACAATATAAATAATAATAATAATAATAAAATTTTACAAATTAAAATTTACAATTGTAAAGTAAGAAGTCAAGGAGTATGAAAAACACTTACAGTCGTACAAGTAAAGAACTTACAATATGGATACCAAAAAAAAAGAAAAAAAAAAGAAAGAACTTACTACATGTTTTTACAACTTTTTACGTTTAAAATTAGTCGTCGAATCAATTTTAATTAGTTTAAAAATATTTTAAATTCAAAATCAATTTAGAACTAAACTGTTTTGATGATGCATATGCATCTATTTGCCTAAAAGACGTAGAATATCAATATAACAGTGATTTATGTGATAGATGTATGAATCTTAGTTCAATGGAGAGTCATGAATCATGATGAGTAACATCTCATGCCGAGGCTGAGAATCCAGGAAACAAGTGAAAGGTTATAGTGGCTTGCAATAACAGATTACAGATATTGCATGGTAAATGTTATAGTGGCTAGTAAATCCTCTTGAGAATTAAGATGGATTTTTTTGGAAAAGGTTTAACTATAGCCGGTATGTGTTCACTAGGTCACCTGATGCCCATTATTTGGCATTGTCCTCACAAGATTGCTTTTGCTCTTTGGTCGAATTTGAAAATAACGAACTTTGGATCACCTTTCTTTTTATCACGTAAGCAACGTTTGTTTTTGTGCTGTTATATTTTCACCACTATGATATTTTAAATTTTCCTATTACATATTGTTCTAGAAGGAAAAGTCTCAGACAAAGAGTCAAGGATAGTAAGAGCACCCTGCAGACAGCCAACTCCTTGTATGGTATTAACTGGGAATGTCGGTGTAGTGGTAGCACAAAGCAAGAAATTGGAAGAAGAGAAGGCTAATGGCATGATCATTGAAGCAACTGGGAGTGTTGGATCAACTGTATTAGATAGTAGAAAAACTAAAACAAATGATAAAGCTGAGAAACAAAATTTAGGAGCAGAAGAGAAGGTAGAGAAACAACCATAAAATCCAGATGGAAAACAAAGTGAAGCAGAAGGGAAGAATGAGAAACCACAATCAAATTTAGATGGTATAAAATCAGAATCAATACCAAAATTCTATTTTCTTTCAAATTTTAGAAGGGGAGGTGCCCACCCTAGCCCCCCATGTATCCTCATGCACAAGTCAATAAAAATGGGAAGTGTAGTTTGTAAGGTAAAAAAATAAATTTATAAGTCATTAGGATTGGTACAGTGGTCAGGGGTCTGGGTAGGTTGTGTTAGGTTATGTGTTCAATTTTCACTTGTATAAAAAAAAAAAAAAAAAAGATAAATTTATTGCTTAATGAAAAGAGAGTAAAGATACTCTTTAAATATGAGGGCTACCCAAGAATATCCTATGAATCTAAGATTAATCAGTTAATGGGTGAGTCAATGAGCCTAAACTAATATATTCAAAACAAAGTTGAAATTGTACATTCTATAAGCCGAGACATAATCATTTCCATAAACTTGGACATCTTTGAAGGGATTAAGTGAAATTAAAATTAGCCCTGCTTTACTCTGCATCCAGAAAGCACAAGTAGCATATGAGAGTAAGTAGATAATCATCCAAGTAGGAAAACGAGCCAGAGCAGCAGATCGTCCACACCATTTAAAATATCAGGATTAGCTGGTAGGTGCATATCAAAAGAAAATTGTATATCAAGGCAGAAAATGCACATAAACAACAATTTGCAAGCAGGTTAATTATCCTAATTGTAACAACAGGCAGACTACTGGAACTGTGGCAATGACCAATATAATTCTTATATTTATGCAGCAAATTTTTGCATCCGCTGCTCCATAACATAGAATATCATTAACATCATTTTATAAGCCCTTCCTAATGTAAAAAACATAACTTCAACATAATTTCCCAAAAAACAAGTGACGAAGCTGATTTGTTTTTCTTTTCAGACTTACGAAACAAGACATTAACAGAGTATACAGATAATACACTCAGGATTCAACTACCCCATATAGATAAGAACCCCATAAGTTATGCACAAGTGTTTTATTAGGTTACATATTTTACATTTCTGTGGTTAGGAGTATACTAAAAAAACTCATTGGAAGAAAACCAATATCAGAACGTTAAATGAAAACTTATTACTAAGCTTCTGCATCATCCGAGAGAACATAGAATTATGACCCCAGAAATCAATATTATGAGTTTTTGTATATGAACTCGAGTAATTTCGTTTTACTTGCTATTTTAAAGATGATTGTGTTCTAAGTACAAAATTATTTAAGATAAATTATATAAATATGTACAAACTATTGCATTAAAGTTATTATAAAGGGCATGTCATTTAGAATATGTAAATTACATGAATTGAACTATGACTTTCGGATCACATGGTGACAGTATTAAGTGTTGTGCCAAGGCTTACCAAGAAAAATTATAATGACAGAAATCTATAGAACAATAAAAAATAAATAAAGCAAAAACTAAAAACGGCCCAATGAGAATTTCGACTTCGTCTTCTTTGACCAAGATTGGTTTACGCCATACTATTCTCTCGCTTTTTTCACGTGTGGCAGCATCATATCACAACACAAATGTAGGACAACCAAAATAGCTGGAGGAAAAAAACCAATTTTTTAAAGTGATTTATTTAGTCTATTTCCATTTCTTCTTCTTGTTAAAATTAGGACACTTGGTGATAAGAACCCCAAAGTTTAGCAACGAACCTTAATATTATTTGTGGCTCACGATCCATTTACACAGGTATATATAATACCTAGGAATGTTGAACGATTAAGGACAGGAAAGGAGGAAAGACAAATCGCCACCGACAGCAAAAGAAAACAAAGGCGCGAACCGAAATGGCAAACAAAATTGTTGTTGCATTGTTGTTGGTGGCGTGCTTTGTCGTCGCCCAAGCTTACGAGTATGTTAAGCCACCACCTGAGTTCAATGGCGAACAATCATATTGCTACAGGGAATGCTATAATCAATGCGTTTTCCCCGCACAATTCTGCAAGTGGTGGTGCGGTAAAGGTTGCATCTACCCATTAGGCTCGGGTAAGTTATTTTGCTTCCATGTTTTTATTTTGCATGTACCCAATATTTCCTTTCCAATTTGGCTCCTTATAAACATATACAAATAGGAATATTTTATAAAAACCTTTTTTTTTTTTTTTTTTTTTGGGTTCAGATAATCATTTTTTTTTTCGGTAAACCAGATAATCATTTTTAATATTAAAAAATTCTGTTTGATCTTGATTTTATTTTATTACTTTTAACAATGTGAGATTGCTTTTATTCTCTTTTTAGTGATTCTTCAAATAATTTATTTATTTAATAAATGCATAAAAATATGTTTTTATTTTTTATTTAATTCCTAAATAAGGAATGCTATATATACATAACTGAGTTTATCTTAATAATTTAATTTAATAATGTATTTAAAATTAAAAAATTATTTAAATGTCACATCACAATTTTAAAAAGTTACATATGTTCTAATTTTAACTGCACAACTAAAGGTTAGGTTTTACTTATTTCACTTTTATAAGAAAACCACATCGCCTGTATTTATATATGCTATTTTTAATTCATAAAAAGAAGATATTTAGCATGAAGACACAAATAGAATTAGAAATCAAAGTGTATGGATATATCTCATTATGTACTCAGTACTTATTTCACTTTATCTATATAATTTGCTGTAATTTGACTTAGATTTATAAATCAAATCTTATTCCAAATTTGATAAAATTTTAAAAATAAATTATTTATTAATTTTTAACTGTAACCCGACTGGACTTCATCCATTGCTAAGAGTCAGGTCGGACACAAACTCAAAGCCCATGGGCAAAAACACTCTTGTCCGAAAAAAAATCAGAAAAAATAATAATTTCGTATTACGTTTGTTTATGGTAAGAGTATTTTCCGATTATTCACTTGACAAATTAACAATGATGACAGGTTAATTTTTTTAAGATAAATAATGAAAAAAAAACTATTGATTTGCCAATAAACAATCAAAATCGCTTTACATATTAAATAATACTCTCAATTTTATTTAAATTAATTTTAGACCCAATGAACTAAAGCCAATCCCAGGACTATTGATGTTGGCCATGAATAAATCTGACCCATACAAGAGGGTACGGGTGAATTATCTTCATATTCATGTATAGGTCATGCTGTATATGAGTATTAAATTATTTTTTTCCGAAATATCAAATTTTAGTATTTAATTACTTATTTGTTAAATTATAACCCATTCATGAAAAAAATTATTTAGTATCATATAAGATAAGACATTTATTCTTACCTTTACTTCAATTGCAATTTTTTAAATATTTGGCATGATGAATTATACACCAAAATTAACGTAGTAGTATAGTAGACTAGTAGTTCTACTTATTTATGTATGCCTTCATGAACATTTATTTTTTTGGGTTTAACATTTATGTTTTTACTGCATAAAATATTTATCTATTACACTCATATGTGAGTGGGTCTCATTAATTTTTTTTTTTCTCTCTTCTCTTTATAATAGGATCCACTCACTCATTCTATTTTATATGAACGTGGTAGAAAAATATTTTCAATAACAAAAGCAAAATATTTTTTCCTTAATTTTTATGGACTTTGTAAAATTAAAATATCCCTCTATGCTGCAGTGGACAAAACTAGCGCAAATAAGTTGGTCGATAGTTCATTCCACCAAGCTGCCGGCGCAAGTAAGGTACCAATTCCAACTGAAGAAGACTATGCCAATGCCCCAGCCTTTGTCAAAGCCGAAGCCCCATCTAAGAAGAACTAAGTCAGACAGCAAAGCATGTCTCGTCCTTTTCTTTTTGTTTTTTCGTAACCAGGCCGGTTCTATTCCGGTTCAATGACAACATCAATAAGCAGTGTTTTAAAACTCGACTCTGTCGAAGTAATGAATCACTGAATTATTATTTCAACCAAGAGTTTAACCGGATATACTGTTTAAAAAAAAAATATTAAAAAAATATAAATATAAATAGAAAAATATTACTCTCATCTTATCTTATCTTCGAAAATCGCATCCCCATTTTTTTTCTTTTTTTTTTTTAATGGTGGACTTCATTTGAATTCTCTCTATAGTATGAGAGAACTAATCTCATGTAACATGAGATTAATATTCCTCATATAATATATTAAAAAATATATTATATTAAACTAGAACAGCACCACTAAACTATGCTCTTTAAGTCTACCCAAATATGTTGAGATACTAAAAATAGCAAACCATTTAAATTTTATCTATATGGACAATTTGAATAATATGCACGAAATTACTGGAACAGGGGAATGTATAACACATATTTCATTTACTAACGAAGGTGTATCTCAAAACAAGTGTTCATTCAGATCTTTTATCGAAGAGTGGAAATGCATATGTACAAGACAAATCGGATCATTACAATCCCATACCATTTACCATTAAATTATGAAAAAGGAGCATTTCCAATTAGAAAACAAACATGCCAGTATAGATTTCTTATGACAGCAAATATCTTGGGTGGAATGGTGAGAAGGAACAGAAATTCCAAATAATTTAAGTTACGGTTTCAAAAAATCCAAACTTAAGTCAGATTATATAAATTATGTTGGATGAGTTCAATTACCACACTTCTTGCTTTTTGATTCGAGTTACACATGAAACCCACTTCTTCAGTTAAGCCACCCCAATAAGCTAGGCAAGCAAGAACACAGAAAGTTTGGTTGACTTGATAAGAACCATATACAGTCCACCCAACTATGAACCGAACCAACCGATTTTTAAGGAACCAGTTCATAAAATTCGGTTTTTCAAAAAATCCGGTTCAGTTTGACTCGTACTGATCCCTACCGGTCTCGATTTGTTATTTTTTTGGTAATAAGCATGTTACTTTAACATAAGCAGGTTAGAGTATCAAGAGAGAAAAAAAAATATTAAGATAAAAAGTTAATTTGTTCGGTTTTGGATGGATTTAATCCTTCTCACTATTTTCTAACTTATGGCATCTATATTTATAAGTATGCGAGACTTGCTTAAAGTTGAACACATGACTTTAAAAAAAATCTGAAAAAAAAGAAGACAATTTGTCAACTTTTTATTTTTAATATTTTGTGTTTCAAATCAATTACGGCTTCATGAATGTTTTTTTTTAGGAATGTATATTATATATATTTTTAATATAATCATAATATACTGAAGTTCGACCATATAATAATTACTCAAATTTAAAGTCTTTCCCTCATCTAATTCGAGGGTGATAGTTTAGTTTTACAGTAAACTACCGCAGCATATATGGATACCATAAGTCTATAACCATATCAAATTAGCTAAGCAGATATAGTTGAGAAGGAAACACAAAACTTTGATGCTTGCTTTATTTATTCGTAGTAGAAAGGTACAAGAGCATGATTATTTCCTCGCTCACTAGGAGCTCTTACAGCGTACACACATTACACATTATTAGTTATACTCAGTAAAAAGCACCCAAAATTGAAGACAGTGGAAGGCTCCTTCTCTGCTTTCCCTCCTCCCCCTGCTGCTGAGGCCTAGCACTCACAAAGTATGAGTTCTTCTGGTTTCTTATTAGCCTATCAACATCTTCAGCAGACCCAGGGAACGTAATCTCCTTCACCGGTTTCGGAATCTGGCTTATCACATTGTCATTCTCACCTTCAAATTTACAATAACTCAATCAGCTTTTTTTTCTTTTTCTTTGTTACATGACATAAAGCAAAGTGTTAAGTTTAATATGCAGTGTTATACCTGCAAGGAAGTTCCTCTGGTTGTTCTCAGCATTGATACCAAAGCCAAGCAAACGAAGATCTGAGGAAGCGTTCACGGCAACTGGATGACCTGCCGGGATTACAATCACTTCGTTTTTAGACAACTTAGCTCTGTACCTCTGCACTTGTTGCTGCTGCTGCTGCTTCTCTTCTTCTTCCTGCTCCTGCTCCTGCTGTTGTTGTCTCGGACCCACAAGTTCAAGGTACCCTTCTCCTTCAACAACATATAGTAACACTGTGGCCTCTGAATTGAAATATGGCAGCAAAAGAGATCCCTATATTTTTGAAAAAAAAATAAAAAATTAGTTTAAGGATCAATTAGTGATTCTCTTAAATAGTCTTTAGCTGTTTGGTTACCTCATTAATCTCGACAACACTGAGGAAGACATTCAAGTCCTCAAGCTGGGGATTCTTCTTTGGAGTGATCTCAAAGAACTTGCCAAACTTGTTGGAATAGATAGGGCCGCGGCTTCTCAAGTTGAATGGTTCATCTTCGGAGGACTTGCTTTTTTTGGAGCTAGATTTGGCATGTTTGCTCATTTCCTGGATCTGTTCCTTTGATACTTTGATTATAAGACCCTCTTCCTCGCTCTGCTGCTTCTTCTCCTGCTGCTGCTCCTGCTCCTGCTCCTCTTCTCCTAAGAGAATCTTCTCTATCTCATCGTATTTGGTCTATATATACGTGTAACCATAAAAAACAGAACAAGCACATAAATATATTATAATGTCCGTATTTACTGAACCATTTAATCAAAATAAATGATTAGATTTTGCTTACGTTAAAGGATGCCTCTAGAATATTCTTGCTGAAGCCGCGGAAGTAGGATTGTCGTTTTTCATTGTCAGAAGGAGAGAAAACCTACAAGGGGAATTAATGACAAATATTACTTGTATATGTCACAGCAGGAAATTAACAAATTAGAAGATCATATTAATTAAATTATGAGAAGAAAAAAGCATTACCTGTAATTTGCCAGGTCTGTTAACGGGTATGGCGAGTTTGACTATTCTGAGATTTTGATTGTCACCTCGGTTAGCCAGATAAGAAGTGGTCCCTGCAGGGATTCTCAGTGCATCGCCTCTCTCCAGTTTGTACGAGTCTCTGTCGTCCGGGTTCAGTACGGTAACTAAGGCTTGCCCTGCAATTAATTAACAAATTAATTAATTAATTAATTACCATTATTGATTAATTATTCAAAAACATGAATAATTAATTAATTAATTATTTTTGTAATAATTACGTACCACTAACGACGACGAGGAGAAAATCAGCGTCAGCGTGTTGGGGAACACGGATGGTGTTGGGTTTTAAGTTGTACCCGACAATCCGATAGTTTTGGAGATTCTCAAATTGTTTGGAGCGCTCGTCGAACCTTTGGAGGACACGAATGTAACCGTGTTCGTTCTCGTACAATGTCTGGTACCTGTTAGAGGTGAAGTGAAAGGGGTTCCTCTTTTCTCTTCGTGACTCTGAACCTTCTTCTTCTTCTTGTTCTTCTCTCTCTTGCCTCTTCTCACGTCTTTTCTCTTCCCTGCGCTTCTCCCTCTCTCTCTGTTCCTTCTCCCTCTCTTTCCGTTCCTTCTCCCTCTCTTTCCGTTCCTTTTCTTCTTCCTTCTCACCCTCCTGGCGCCCCCTTTCTCTCTGTGGTTCTCGCTCCTCACGGTTCATTACGAGCTTGCAACGAGACTCGCATGCATCGTGTCTGTATGCATCGATCTCTTTGTTGCAGCTCTGAAGGCACATGTGATGACTGGGATTCTCTTGTTCCCAGTACGCAATGCCAAAAGAGACCGAAACTGAAGCCAGGAAAACAATTCCTAGCAACAGCAATAGTGGAAACCTCGCTTTCATTATAGTAGCCATGACTCGAATTAATTGCACTCACTCACTCACTTACTCACTAGCTCGATGATGAAAACTGGGAGTGATATGAAGGGGTATTTATAGTTATAGAAGAGAACGCTCTACTCTAACATGCATGGACATTTGGCCTTGGAGTTGCCATGCAGGATGACGAGTGTTGAAATGAACACAAATAGAGGTGGCAGAAAGAGGTTTGGGAATTGGGTCTCTAAGAAAATGATTGGGCCTCGTGGGTTGAGTTGGTGAGAGATTTGGGCTGCATGGTCGACACCTTAGGTGAATACGTGTTATCATGCATGGCATTTGGGGTCCAGCCCTTTTGGATGCGGCGAAATTGATCTGCTAGCGAATAATGTTGCGGTTTGTTTCCATTTGATGAACTTGGACAATATTTTGGAAAGGGTGCTTTTTTATGTTTGTCTTTTCATCTGCCACCACGGGTGTGCATATAATTAAATGAAGAACAGACTAGAGTGTGTCACGGCACTAGAAAGTAAGAAACAAAAGGAAATAAAATACATACAGCAGAGGAAAGAACAGTAATTGATCAGTACGGAGTGTCATCATGACCACTAAATAACTGATCAGAATACTAATACTGATCAAGTGATACTAGCTCAGTTGATCTTAGGCTATAATGTACGGATACGAATACGAGACACGGGACACGACACGCTGACACGTTATTTTTAAAAAATATTATATTTTGACATGTTGGGACACATTTTGATATTAAATATAATTTTTAATATATATAATAAAATTTATATTTAATACATATAAGAGTCCATAATAAGTCATATAACTAATCAAATATTTAAATTTCATAACAAAAATATAAATAATTTTTCGTACTTTATTAATTTTTAATGTCAAATTTCATAACAGAAAAAAATTTATTTATAAATTATTTCTTTTATATTTAATTAAAAAAAATAAGAGAATAAATTACATGGAAGCTACCTTCCCCGGTTGTTTATTTTTTTTCTCACTTTTAGTGTTAATTACTGCATCAAAATTTGGAGAGGTGGCACTTGTGTTTCTCTCTTTTCTCTCTCTGTGACCTGATCCTTTCTTCTTCTACTTGTTCTTGTTCTTGTGTGGCAGTGCCTCACTCACTCACCCTCTTTCTTTCTTTCTCCGACAGTGGGAGAAGGTGGATCTCTGAGCGATGGCTCTTTCTTTCTCCGACAATGGGAAAAGGTGGATCTCTGAGTGATGGCATCGTGAAGAAGATCATCCTCTCTTATTTAAAAAAAAATTAAGATTAAAAAAAAAACGTGTTCGAACGTGTCCCCAAATGTTGATCACGTGTCGGAACGTGTCGAAGAGTTGACTTCGTGTCCCCAAATATTGACCGCGTGTCGGACACGTGTCCGACACGCAAATTTTAAAAAATTTCGTGTGTCCGTGTTTTGCAGATCTTAGGAAACTGAGCAGTTGAGGGTGATAGCATGTATTCGATTCTTTCCAATACCATCTTTGAAAAGGATTTAAAATTTTAATCTCGGAACCCGCCCTATCAAACTAATCACGAAGCAATGAACTGATTAAAATATTTAAAAAAATAATAAAATACTAACACTAGAACTTCATACAATATGCTATAATATTAGCTTGATTTATTTCGTAAATGAGATCATTAAAATGTTTGATATTTTAATAATAGTGGAAGGTTATACTTATAACCTATTTTTATTTATAACCTTTTACAACTATAATCTTAACCATTGATTTTCGTCAATTAATAGATATTATTTTCATAAATTAAATTTATTAATTAATTATTAATTCATAATAAATGATAACCGTTGATTGACGAAAATTAACGGTTAAGATTATGGTTGTAAAAGATTGTAAACAAAAATAGATTGTAAGTATAATCTTCCTCTTAATAATATACCACTATATTATTAATAACAAAAATAGTACTAACTTCACAACTATTTTAAGATCTTATTAAAAGGTGATAATTATTTAATTATTGAGTTTTTTTTTGTAAAGTTACTTTAGATAGCTTTATCTATTTTTATCGAAACGACGTAGTTTTAGGGCAAAAATCATGGTGTTTTTGTAATTTTAATTTATTTCAGAGTTATAATTGTCTTTATCATTCTATTTTTTTAATCCCAAACGATATCATTTCGATGAACATTAGACAAAATTGTCTAAAGTAATATTAGATATTTTTTTCCTTTATTTAGAGACACTAATTTTAATCATTTAATTTTCAATGAATGATTGAGATATTATATGTTTAAGTTGAATTAATCCTAACCAATTCTGTTTAGAACGGAACTGTCAAAATAAACTATTTCTTTTTCACATTCTCACTCAACAAATTTCCTGCTGATTGAATGACTAGTTTAGTATTCAAAATAATGGTCAGTTTCGGGCTTCGCCCCTTAATGTTATAAAAAAAAAATAAATAAAAAAAAATAATGGTCACACTCACATGTATCAGCGTCGTCTCAGAATCTCATTCATTGTTATCATGCTATTATTTATAGACTTTATTATTCTCTTTTTACATAAAATAATTATCTTATGTTGTATAGAAAAAATAGTTGGGTCTCACCATTACAAAAAAAAAAGTGGAATGCGAAAATTGAAATGAAAGAACGTAAGAGACATTATCTTATGCGAAATGAGAGTAATATTTCTCATTATTTATTCCATGAGAGAACACTGAAAAAAAGAAAAAGAAACAGTAGCTAAATCTAATTATAATATTATATATTTTTCTGGAGCAGGCACCTGTATGTTAAATCTATCATTTTAGGATTTTATTTTTCTTATGTTGCATGAGCCAAGTTGTCTCATGCAACACACAAAAAGTGGGTGGGACCTGCTTTTTTATTTTCTCTCTCTTCTTTTTTAGTGGGTCCCATTAACTTTTTGTGTGTTGCATGAGACAACTTGTCTTATGCAACATAAGAAAAATAAAGCCCATCATTTTAATTGTTTTGAGTCTTCTTATACGATTTTCAGGTTATTTATTCTTAATTATCATTTAACTCATATCGGCATATTTAGAATATGTTTATAGTTAGGATTTAATGTTCTACTGTAGAAAAAATTTCTCGGACACACTCATATAAACTAATAAAAGTGAGTAGATCCTATTATAAAAAAAGAGAAAAAATAGATTAGTGTGACCCACTCACTTTTTATATGAATATGAAAGAAAAGGTTTTTTTTATAACAAAAGCATAAATATTTTTCTGTTATAAATAGCAATTGCTGTATAATTTTCATGGAACAAATGCTTGAGCCCTGCAAACAATATTTGCGGAGAAAACTTAACTATATATATCATTTTGTAACCAAATAATTTAATTTTACACCTAAAAAATGTTAAAAAATACAAAACGTTTCACTATTAATTGTATCCTTTTCCTCGTCATCTTCTTTTAGCCGGGAATTTTTTTTTAGCCGGGAATCTCAATTTTCAAAACTATGATTTTTACATTCAGTTTATGATAATATCCGTAAATTTAAAATTTAGAAAAATTCAATTTATCGAAAATCTTGAAAAATTCCGCGTACCAAACACCATTTTCCATAGTGATTCCCTATTATTTCATAACTCTGCACTTTCTTCGGTCAGAATGAATATATTTTTAGGAAATTGTCCTCTCAATTGTTATTTAAATATATTCATATTATGTAAGAGTATCTTAAAATCATCAATGAACAAATTAATGATGAGGATTTTATAACTTTCTATCCTTATTTTTTTTCTCTTATTATTACTATTGATTTATCCTTGAATGATTATGAAGCACATGACATAATCATGTTAAATAATATATTCACTTCCATATCTTTTACCTTGGTAGAGATAATTGTGATCTTCTCATTTCGTCAACCTTCTATCCAAAATAATCCCTCCTAGCACTCACTTTGCTGTTGATCAAATGCTTGTTGTTGAGAATATTGTTGCTCAATAAACCTAACAGGGTTAACGTGGCTGGCTCAGAAGAATATTGTTGTTGATCAAATTAACTTAATTGCCCAATGAGCAATAGTAGTCCTAGGAATCTGCTTTCCACCTATTATGTCAATGTCTTAATAGCAGTGGAGATAGCTAATTAACTTGGTGGGTGTAACATCCCGTTCTAGAACCGGTTTGTTAACATTATGTATGACATCAAGCGTAGTTACAATCACAAGATTGAATTAAACACGGATAAACTTTTTCCTTTTTATTCATAAACATTTTTGTTTAAAATCTATTCCGTAATGTAATTATAACTTAAATCATCGGTAGACTTTCAATTATAAGTCTTGTGTAGACCACCAAAACTTAAAACTCAATGTTGTTCTTAAACAATAAACACATGTGCTCTTTATTTATTTATGAAATTCCTATAGTGGGGTAAATTAAAGTTTCAACTATGGCTGGAAGGGTACCAAAGGGTGAGGTCGACAGTTAATAGCAGTCATTTGGTGGCACTTGACTAATGGCAGAATCGACCTAGGAATATTTTCCAAGAAGGTACGTGCTTGGGAAAACAGGAACTACATGTAAAGAATAGGTGAGTTGTTATCATCGTCTTTAACTAATGATAAAATTTTATATTTTTAGTACAAACAATAATTCTTGGTTAGTGATGCCATGACTAATGTCTTTTAAATTTTAATTAAAGTTTGATACATCAATAACTTGTTTAACTGATGGAATACATATTAAGCAATTTAGTGCTGGAGTATTGTCTTTTTTAACTGTATCTAAGAATTTCTGTAGTGCCTAATAATGGCAATCAAACTACGACAAATAAAAATAAGAATTTTTTTTTCTATGCTTGTCTTCTTGTTTTTCAGTCAAAATATGTATATTTTCTTTGTAATTAATATTTTTCATATGATAGGAGATAACTTTATCTCTTATACATATAAAAGTGTATGATGCTCTCTCTTTTTTCCCCTCTTTCTTCTCTTATATACCCACATGGGTCTCACACGCTTTTACGTGTGTAAAAGATAAAATTATCACT